GTTAGAGTCTCAATACTTTTGGACAAAAATGACTTTTTTCAAGCTCATTCCTGCGTGTTCAAGACAAGCAAATTAAAAATTATTATTTGTGGCCAGGAATTAGCCACAGTGAATTCATGTCCCTTGGCAACACAGTGAAATGATTTAGCAGGCAGTGGAGTGAAGCACTTATTGCTGTGTCAGTTCTCACAGCATGCTGATTGATCTAAACCCACCAGCCTGACAAGATGGATTATTGGATGATCGTGATCAAACAAGTCTTGCCAGAATCTAGATGCCTCATATAGCAGGGACTTACTGACAACGGGAAAGTCATAGTCATCGTCTTTATCTAAAATCAGAGTGGGTCTTGCTAGTTCTCTCAAAAAGACTACGTGAAATGGTCCCCCTCTTCAGTTTACTGAACAGCAGTGCACAGTTTACTGTGCATTAGTGTAATGTACAGTTTGTCTCTTACTCACTGACCAATTACGAGAAGCCCTCTGTCTGGATTATACCCCATGCGCCATTAAGAAAAATTCCCTTGTGGGTTTATATTGGTTTTATTATTACAATATTACAGTGTAGTAATATTGTGATAATAACGTACAAGCTATATTTAATGTACTACTACAATTATGTTTTCAATACATCAAGACCCATGTATTTTGGATAGCAATCAGTTAATACAAATCCCACATATATACTCAAGTCCTTCCCAGTCAGTGGTGGGTTGTTGAAGAATTCAGGATGAGCACATTTACACTTTTTAAATATTTTTTTATATTTTTTATAATCTCTGCAGAATATATCCCTGTAGGGGAACCTATAGCCACAGCTTCACCCATATTCTTATGCCAAACCCCACAGCCACATAAAGACTGCAGAAGAATAAATGCAAACAGGAAAGGCAGACAGGGGCAACAAATTCATGCCGAGTGTGGACGTGCTCAAGCGTTGGGAATGATAATTTAATTTGTTGAACCCATTGTGGCTCCCACTGCTACTGTAGCTTTGATGCAAAAGGAGCCCATTTGCCAAGGGCAGCGCAGAACAATTTGCAGCTTTAAGTCACCAGGACCTGCAGAGATTTGTTTACTTCTAATATTGCCTATTTCCATATTTCTCTCCAAGGCGGATGTGGATGGATGACAGATTATTCCAGAAATTGAAAAAGTAAGAAACAAATCCCCTGGCACTCGCTTTCTGAGCAGCACTGGTGCCTGTTTGTCTGGACCACAGTAAGAGGTTGGGGAGAGCACACGCTCAGGCCTAACAAGATCTCTGGTATAAAAGACACATGCTGAGTTGTTTACTTTGGTGACTTACCGCTTAACGATTCATTAAACCAACTCAGACTCAATGAATCCCAAATGAAACATCATAATGCCAAGTTGTGTAGAAATGTAAACACCCTGCAATCTTGCTGATAAATAAGTCATTAAAAAGTGAATGAGGACATGAGATACCCATAAAATATGCTTCCTTGTACGACACTGCATTTATATGATGAAAGGATTTTCTTAAGATTAGAGATTTCCCTTTCTGAAATTTTTCCAAAAGCATTTCAGCTCAAACAAGAGGCCCAGACACCTCCTCCAGAGTTCAAAGTAGACAAGACAAAGCTGGCTTTATTATTCCCTTGACTTCCATTTACTGTATTGGCCTGTGCCGATGCTTTTAAGCAGCGGCATGGATATTCATGCCTACTCATCAGGAAGTCTTCCCTCACGACTTGTGCCACTGCAGGCTCTATGGTCTCTCTCAATGGGTGCATTTGTGTGTGCAATAATACACCCCTGTGACTTGGCACTCGAGCACCCACTCCTTGAAAAAGTTGCAAAAAACAGTCAGCATGAACCCTCATTCAGATTGCTAGAAATCTGAATTTGACAACTAAGACATGCAATGCTTGCAGACCATCCGCCATCACACAGCCCACATGTTCACGTCCGGAACTGTAAGCATACCCGTTCACTTGTGTTTACTGTTGAGCACATGGCCACAGTCAGATGGCCTGTTGGAAAGCAACGTGTGTGCCGACTGACAATGAGAACAGTCTGGGCAAAGACCTGAGTCATTTGGTGCCTCTTTGGCCAAGTAACACCATGTGATCATGGCTCACAACACAGAACAGGTGCCCACTTACAAAAAAACCGTCAAAGAGACGGTGAAAGAGAGAGAGAGATGCAGCAAAAAGAATAAGCGCTTAGATCAATGTCAGACCACAAAAGGTATATTTCTGCAGCGTGGACTAAAATCCTCAAACCCAAAATTGGTACACCATGACACTAGTTGGCTATGTCAGCACGAGTAGGTGCAGATGTGTGGGAGCTCTCTGGCGTTCAGATCACCAGATTATCACTTTACATAAGGAAATCATCTCTTCCCAAGTACAAAGCTGTTTGTGCACAGTCCAACTGCTATTAAAGATAAGGCTCAGACAACCCACGCAGCTACAGATACAGCATTTCCAATCAAGCTGGCTTTCCCTCAAGTAGCAGCAAAAAAACCCTCTAAACTAGGTTACAAGACTATATGACGCTTCAAACAAATGCTTTGTTTGACTCCCTTGCATTTCTGCACACCTACATCTTGCTGGGCTTTATCCATTCCTGTGTGGCAGCATATTTCTTAAGACTCACGTGGACTAACTTAGCATTTATTCAGCTTTTTTTAAACTACTGATATTTATATAATCCATAATTACCCATAACAGTTTACTGTTTACTAGCCATATTTCAAGAAATTCACATGAAATGACAAAAAAAAAAGAGTGCTGATCATATTAGTTTGACATGTAAACAATATTGATTATTCACTTCAACACTAACCCCACCCCCCACCCCCGCCTCAGTCATATAGGACACCAGTGTTTTAGCTTGTCTTCTTATCCTCTATTGCAAGGGAGTTAAACAGAAGTCCAACTCCTCATCTTTCTATCCTTTGTGGACACAGTGGGGTTTTTTTGTGGCTGTGTGTACAGGATTGTGTGCTTTCTTACTGTGACACTGCACCCTTCACTCTGTCTGTCCTCCACACACTGTGGCCCTGTATGTGCAGCATGAGTGGAGCTGTGTGTTGTAGATAAGAGTCAGAGTATGGCAACTGTGGTGTGGGGCACGTGTGAAAAGACCACCAAAAAAAAACAAAACAGGGGGGGATTTAGCTGTCTTTCTCCCAGTCAGATTCACCTCTGGGTGCCCTTTCCTCCACACACTGCCATTACATCGTCCTCATGAATAATCCAGCCTGTGACACTATTCTGTGCTATTCTACTGACACATTTCACCATGAGGCTCAACACATGCAGTATGGAAGCTGTCCACTGCAGTGCCCTAGTGAACTACGACTTCCACGCTGTGTATGATGTACAACTTATTTTCGCTCATGATGTGAGAAATATTTTGCCGGAACCTTCCTCTGTCTAGACAGACGATAATCAGCTGTATCTTCACCCGTTTATTGTTCATTTGAATTCCATTACAGCAAGGCTGAAATGAGCAAAAGTAGAATAACATATCTTTAATTAAAAGCTGACTGCCCCTTCTCTGTCTCTCTTTTTTCCTTTTCTCTCTCAACCACTCTCACTTGGATGTCTTAGCGAGCACTAGTCTGACTCATGACAATTAAAAGAGAGGCCGAGAACACCGAGAAGGCATGTGTTATTCTTCACGGGGCAATATTGGCCACTTATTCTTGGGGGCAATTTGTTGTTGCTAAGGAAAATGTGAGAATAGTGTCAGCAGCATGAATTAGCAGATTGCAACAGAAGCTCCTCCAGCTACAAACTCAGCCAAGGAAAAGGATGTGGAGGATAATTAGTGCACAAGTTGCACGCATAAGTCAGACACATTTCCCAGAACGCTGGTTTTCAGATCTGAATAATGATATGCCAACTTAAAAGAACAACTTTTGTTTAGGGACATTTTAGAGTAATTCGTCGGAAGCTATTAGTGCTGCTGTATTCTACCGTTAGTGCTATGAGAAAACATGACGCAGGTTGTTACATCACCTTGTGAGTTTGTGAGCCAAATGTGACAATGTCGAGCCAGTGAAATAGTGCGGCCCTGATGTGTCAGCTGGCACGGCAAGGACTTATACAAAGAGTACACTCCTTGGGCTAGGAAAGACTATATAAGCATTCTTTGACTGCTTTTATTCACACTCATTAGCTATGCAGCAAGGGGGCTGATTTGAGACCCTTTGAGAGGATCCAGAGAAACCAGGTCTGTTAGTGTGAAATGGAAAACCGACCTGTTTGTCAGTCTCACCTACACCGAATGCTAATGCTGCTCTCATCAATGGGCTCTTCATGCAGAGATCCAGCCGAGGACATAGGAACTAGCACCAGTAAAATACAACCACAGGGCAGCACAGTAAAGGAGCCAGAAGAGGACAGTGGCGTGCCACAGCCCGCAACAGCTACAGCTTTTATCTGCGGTTACACTGATCTGAGGAATGAAGGTAGAGATCCAACTGTTTTGTTCTGTTTCTCATAATGCCTTCAGCAGCCCTTCACTCACTGCCTCTTTCTCCTTCTGCCATTTACATTGCTTAAGAGAAGGAGTGAATAACAACAGGCTTTCAAAACAATTCTAAAGTGTTAAATCAATACAGACAAGCTCCGGTAAAAATAAGTAACAGTAATATACAGCCAGAAGGCCTGAAAGGGAACACAACACTGCATTATAACTTTTAATCGATCCTCTTAGTGAAGAGCTCTCTGTGAGAGGCAATTACGGCATCCAGTGAGTGATTTTAAACATACGTAGCATGGTGCATAATTTAAAAAATATAACCTAATGGACATACAACTCGAGTCAGAGGTTTACATACACTCATCATGGGCATGATTGTTATGGCAGTTTGTGGGCCTTCTGGATTCTTCTGGATTTATTTAACTTGTTTGGCTTGACATATTGCACCACTAATATTGGGTTGAATGTCCA